GGGAGAGAGAGAAAGGGGAGAGAGAGAAAGGGGAGAGAGAGAGAGGGAGAGGGAGAGAGAGGAGGGGGGGACAGGATGCTTCTTAAAGAGTCACGCTGCCATCCTGTGGTCAAAAAGAAAGAAGGTCAAAAGTTAGAGAATTGTTTTTAATCAATGTTTTATTCCAGATTCAATCGTTAATTTGGAAAGCTGTTCAGTTTACACTGCTATCTAAAAGATGTTTCGATATACCTTGAATTCCTTCTTCGTTCTCCTCCTCTTCCTCTTCTTCTTCATCATCATCAACATTATGCTTTTTCCCTCCCCCCCCCCCCCCCCCCCCGTCCTATTTTTCTTTTCGTGAAAGCAACTCACAAGGCAGGGAGTTTAACTTTTCATTCTGAGGAATTTGCACCAAGTTCTCCCTTTTGTGCTCTAGTCTCCTCCGAGGGAGGCTTCGGTCGGTCCAACATTGTCGTCGACTCGTCGCTAGGATTCCCCGTGACTATTATCCAGTGGTTCTTGGTCTCTTCAGCTTTATGGGAATCTAGGTAGGTGTGGCAGTTGACTTCGCACTCTTTTCCAAAGTATGTCCTTGAAAAAAAGCAAAACAACCGCACAAAAAAAAACCTAAACAGAAACTCCAAAACAGCCTTTTCAAAGCTGGCTTTGGGCAAGGGGCTGGACTGAAAGACCTCCGAGGTCCCTTCCAGGTCCCCCCGATCGTGAGAAAGAATGAAAGCTAGTTTAAAAGGTAGGTTGTAAATCTGGAGATGCCTGGGGCTCACCTTATCCAGAAGGTCCTAGGAACTGCGAGTGCCTGATTTGTATGGCTGTGGGCAATGACAACTTTTGTATTGGCCTGGAAAAAGGAACAAGAATGGGGAGGCTTTAAATTTCCATATTTTTATTGATTGACTGATTGATTGGCCCTTGGGCCATATCAACGTGCAAAGTTCCAGAAACAAATTATTACTAAAATTGAATAAAAACAATTTAAAATGGAATTGGATAAAACACAATTTAAAATGAAATTGGGGCAAAATAAAATGAAGTTGGGATACAGTATGGCCTAAAATGAAATTGGAATAGGATACACAATAATTTAAGATATAGATAAAATACGATAAAATTATATTTCGGTGTCACCCCTGCAATCTACCCCAATCAGTCCCACATATGCAGATCTCAACTGGACCATTTTGCTTGTTTTAATTGCACACTTCAGTCAATTATAGCGGCTCAGAATTTTCAAGCATAGAATATAAAACATATTTCCTATTAAACATGTTTGGCATACAAGTATACGTAGTCCTTGACATAGAACTGGTCGCTTAGCAAGTGTTTGAAGTTACAATGGAGCCCCCCCCCCCAAGCTACTTACCATCTATTTCTGAAGTTACAATGTCTGCCCTTCCCAGAGTCATGTGACTGCATTTGGGCAGTTGGCAACCACCCTGCATTTACGGCTGTTTGCGGCACCCCACAATCACACAATTGTAATTTATGACACTTTGTGGGAAACCAATGTTTACCTCTGATTAGAATCACAGTGCTTGCTTTAGGACAGAGGTCTTCAAACTTGCCCCTTTTATGATTCATGGACTTCAGCTCCCAGAATTCCTCAGCCAGGCAGGCTGGCTGAGGAATTCTGGGAGTTGGAAGTCCACAAGTCATAAAAGGGCCAAGTTTGAAGACCTCTGCTTTACAACTACGGCTTTCATTTAATGACTTCTGCAAAAAAAAAGGTGGTAAAACTGGATCTGGTTATCTGATGACCCGCTTTGTGACTGTTACGAGTTACGATCATAATTATGGGGCTCAGTTATGGTTGAAGACTACCTGTATCTTCACATCTCTTTTAAACCCTGCTAATATTGACCGTATTATTTTGGGGCTAATGCTAATGTTAGCCTGTTCCTCTTGTATAGTACAAACAACAGCACAGAGTTTAGCTACTGGCTAAGAAAGATCTGAATGTTGATGTCACCCAAAGTGAGAGACATAAAATATGTACACATGAACCAGACCGATGTCGTCCTGAAGAACAAAAGCTCAGAAGCAGGAAATAATAGATGGAGAAGTAGAATGTTAGCTTATTTCAAAAGCGGTAGAAAAAGGGCTGTTGTGGAAACTGGAGAAGTGTTGGATGAGGCTGGTAAAGTTGAAGAGGACATTTAAGACAGGCCCACCAACAAAGCTAAGAATGAAGTTCAGAATGTCTATATGAGATTCTCGGTCATCCAGATCATGGTTGTCTCCAAGATGTTTTTTTCAAGAGGCAACTGGACTTTCTTTACTTTTCCTTGAAGGCGCTTCACTTCTCATCCAAGAAGCTTCTTCAGTTCAGTTCCAGAAGCTTCTTGGATGAGAAGTGAAAAGTCTTCAAGGAAAAATGAAGAAAGTTGAGTTGCCTCTTGAAAAAAGCACTTTTGGGAAATTCAGCATGGTTCTCCTTTAAGTTCTCTCCCACACACTCACATTCCCTCTTTACAAATACAGATGTTTCCTTACAGGGACTGGCAAACCTTCATATTCCAGGCGTAACTGTGGATCCAGGAAAATAACTTGCCAGGCACACAGGTATGAAAGTTCATCCGTCATGAAGATGGGCTGGAGAGAAGATTTCTTGGCCATATTCTCAAATGATCTAGAGTCGCTGGCCAAAAACAGCTGGAAATGAAAACATAAGGAAGTGATTTGCCTGGAAATTAGATCACCATTGTTGAAGATTGACAGAAACCAAAGGGGAAAAAAATTACCAGTATATTTACTGTTCCCTATGATCTAAGATGATCAGAGTTTGCCTTCTCCCATTTGCAAATCTGAAACTGAATATAGGGAGGGTTCTGTAGAGTTTCACAGAATGGGAGAAGATACAGAAATACAGCTACTGTGTATTGAATCAGAAGCTGGGACCTTGGCCAAAGTTACACTGATCTAAAAGTTGTGCTTGGGATACAGATGAAAATTTGAAATTGAACAATAGGATCCACTCACGGGCATCTCCAGGGAAGTGGAGTTAAGAAGAAGAAGAAAAAAAGGTCAAGATACACCAATGCATCTAGGATTATAACTCTGAACTGGATTAGGGACTATATAAAAGTTGGACAGTGTTTCTTAGGTGGTTTCAT